GTCTGTTCCCCTTCCCCCAATTCCCCAGCACTGTTCCCATCCCCCCAATTCCCCAATAAAAATCTTTAAAAAAAAAAAAAAAGAAATGTGACCCATTGTAAAGTATCTAAATAAAGAGAACCTATTGGTAGTAGAAATACCCATAGTCAGATCAAATTTCGATTGATGGTTCTTCTTGACCCCCTCTACTTCACCCTTCCCTTCTCAATATTCTATGGCTGATTGCCTTGTAGAGGTAAACATAGAAGAATATGCTTTGATCAGATTTCCCCAGAGGTCCAGCCAAACTTGGAAATAAAAATGTGAAAGGAGGAAGTCTAAGGGAACTTTACAAGGAGTCTCCCTTTCTAAGGAATGGTTTGTTAAATACTATCTGGATACACTAACTAAACTCTAGTTCAGTACAGAGCTAAAGTAAGATCCAGGGATTTTTTTTTTTAATTATTAGTTTCAGGTGTACAAAACAATGCACTAGTTATCCTTTTCACCCCTCACAAAGTGACAACCCCCCCTCCCCTGATCCAATTCCCCCCACCCCCAATATCATACATATCTAGTACAATTCCATTGACACCATTCCCACGCTATACTCCACATCCCATGACTATATATGTATTAAATTATAGTTGACAATATATTATTATTCAACGGCAGCTTCAGATGTACAGTGCAGTGGTCAGGCCTCTACACCATCCATGAAATGGTCTCCCTGACAAGACATGAGACCATCTGGTCCCCTAAAAAATATTTACAACATTATTGATTATATTCCCCAAACTGTCTTTTCTATCGATCCAGGGATTCTTTATACTTTTCATACTGAAGATGGCAACCTAAGAATCAGGCGATACTGCTGAGTAGACAGAAAAGGGAAAAGGGATTAAAAGGAGCAGTGAGGAAGAGTAATTCTGAATCAGATGGAGCTAAATTTTGTGGGCTAGTATGTGAAGGTAATGAGCAGAGAAAGAAAAACTTAGAAAATATCACCTGATTCTCAACTAGGGTTCTACATATGAACCACTGAATACTGATAATTATCTAAGTGACTATTTTCTCACTTCTCCCAAAGATGGGACAAAACTAGTGCCACTGGGGATACAGAGGAGAAAAGTCGGCTCATTACACACAATGAATACCTTAGGTCATTAGGGCTTAATTCTTTTCCTGGAACTCCAGATGAGAAGGGCTGGAATGATGAGAAAAGTATATAAATTCTTAATTGGGAGCCCAAATATATTAAAATTGTAAAGAAAAAAAAATGATGGAAAGAGCTGACACAGAGGAAGGAAAATACTAGTTTAATATCCTAAGAACTCTAGAGACCGGCACAAGAATTGATACCTGTTGGTACTTTGTCCCCAACAAAAGGTTTATATAACTGATGGTCAAAAGTACAATTTTGTATATTAAAGAAGTGGAAGCCGACGATGAGATAACAGAGATGACTGGTCTGGGATTAGGAATCAAAATCTAATCTAGTTTTGACATTGTACTTCTTTGAGCAAGCCCTTTTCCCTATGCCTTGGTTTGCCCCGCTACATAGATCTGTCATGACAAAGAATCAGTATGGTTTTTAAAGCAAAGTTCAGGAGTACCTGACCAGGTTAGCATGGATCTGTCAATGCTGCATCTTAGGTACAGATTAAAATGGATATAAGAAAGAAGCAGGTTGAAATACATTTCACTGAGAAAGCAGAGACAGAGAGCTGAGGCAAGAGAAAAATGTGAGAGACTTTCACATATAACTACCTCAATTCACCACTACACACAGATCCCTCGTTAAAAAAGTTCCTCAATGGGCCGGCCGAGTGGCGCGATGGTTAAGAACTGGCTTGGGATGCCAGAGGGCCCCGGTTCGGATCCCACATGTGAGGGCCAGTGACACTGCCCTCCACAGCTAAGATGCTGAACAACAGCTCAACCTGGAGCTGGGCTGCCATGAGTCGCCGGCGACGGCGTGGGCTGCAGCCTCTGTGGCAGTGGGTTGCCATGGGCTGCCGTGTGTGGCCAGCAGCCAGCGTGAGCGGCCAGCAGCCGCAGTGAGCGGCCGTCCAGAGGCCGGCGACTGATGTGCCTCGCCAGAGAAGAGCGCAATGATGGTGCCAACTTGGGCCAGTGAAGCAATGTCCTCCACAACTAGATTGAAGAACAAAACGACAGCAACTTGTCTGTTCCCCGTTCCCCAATTCCCCAGCACTGTTCCCATCCCCCAATTCCCCAATTAAAATCTTAAAAAAAAAAAAAGAAATATTAAAAAAAAAAAAAGTTCCTCAAGTATCATCTCCCTCACTCCTTTACCTGTAAGTTAGTTCCCTTCTAAAGAGATGTAGGAAGCAGTCTAAGAATTTCTAAAACCTTCCAAAGAAACCAATTCCCTGGAACTTAGTCTGTTAACTGGTAAAGAATACTTGCTTGATACACAAAGTATCTTATTAAAAAGGACTCAGTTTTAAGCTTTCTACCTAGGCTTGACCAATCCATATGATGAGAAGGAATTCTCTCTATCTTTGCCATTTTGAAAGAGGGAAACTGTTATTCTCTTTTACCTGACGAGGATCTGAATGTGTACATGTATTAGAGCTAAAGGAAAGAAAATGACAAGAAAGAGGCCTAGAGTTCAACTCAATTAAAGAAGGAGGTGGGAACAGAATTCCTACACACAGATCTATGTTAACATCTCCCCTAGTTGTAAAACAGAGCACTTCTGAGAGAAATGCTCTGGTCTAGGTCTAAAGAAGGGATAATAGTGCTTTATTTGTATGAACAAGCAAAAAGGGTCATATGGACAAGGGAGCTAATACACCCCTTTAACCCCCAAAATTCTCCTGTCTCTCACCAGAGACAGAGTTAGCATCCCAGATCCTACAATTAGCATTCCTAAAGTTTACATGCGTTGGGAAAAGGAGAACAGAATAAGGAGTCTGGAAAAATAGTCCACAATCCATGCTAAACTCCATCAGGCGTTCCAGAACTTTGATGGAATACTGATTCTTTCCTTATCATGACACATCCATATAAAAGGGATTAGCAGGAAACCAAGTAAAAATAAAACAGTTTTTTGAAAGAATGTGACAGGAAATTGTCAACAGAGTGTCAAACTGTGACAACCAACAGGAGAAGCCTGCGATGACAAACACCTGCACTCTATTCTTACAATTTGGGGAGAGTTTGGAGAAACTCAAATCAGGATATTATCCACAATGCTCTGAATGGGGGAAACCTGAAGGACCTCAATCCAGTACGCTTATGATCCTATGCGTCCTAAGGATGCCATGTGCTCCCTTCAACTTTCCACCGACTCTGCCCTCTGTCCCCTCCCAGGCAGCGATGCCTACTCTAAACCGAGGCTTTAGCTTCTGCACTAGGCCACACGCTTATTCCAGGGGGCAGCAGAACCTTCAGTCCCCGAGGATTACCCGGAACTCCCTTTTTTACCCCCTTCTAGTCAGACTGAACCCCGACTCCCGATCCCTCTAACACCGCAGCATCTCAGTTGCCCCGGCTCCTACCAAAATCAGCGCCTCCATCTTGCCCCGCAGCTGGTGCCGACGTGGAGCCTCAAAAACAACGCCGCCGCTGATTGGCCCTAAGTCCTCATTTGACCCCGCCCAGGACAAGGATTATTGGACTACGGGGAGCTCTGTTGGCCAATCAGTATGCTAGGTTGCTTAGCGGAAGCAAGGTCTCCAGCCAGAAGGCGCAGATAGTTGATTGTCAGTTTAAACACTCAATAAAACGCCAAAACCTCACGACAGAATGGGGCGGAGGGTCAGTGGGGCGGGGTTGTTTCCATGGGGAACAGAGGAAGCGAATATTAATTTTCAGTTGGCAGGGCGGAGAGCACGTGATATCGTAGGCCTGATTTAGTAGCTTTAATCCGCACTCCCTTTAGGGGGCGCTATGTCTCCTTAGCCCTTAACACTGGCAGCTCTTGGCGGAATCCTACCCTAATCCCCGTTCTAAGAACTCCCATTACGTCCCTGATATCCACAGTTGCTTAGGCAAACACTGCTAGCTCTTCCCTCAGACTCGGTCAGATCACTCCACATCCTCACAGAAAGTATGCACAACCAAAGAATAAAGCCAAGGGATGCCCAAGGTGTTAACTAGATAAACTAAAGTTGACAGAAAGTTTATTTCTACAGTAACAATCTCCCCAAGGTGGAGTCCCAGGCTTTGCTGGACCCAGGGAAAGACCCAGTGAGTTTCTAAAAGCAGATTTCGTTGGCCAAATGTAAACTGGGATGTTAAGAGTTTTGGAAACCAGAGAGGAGAGAGTAGGAGGGACAGAGGAGTAAAGGGTCCAGGACAAGGAAGGGTATACAGAGCAGGGTCTGCGGTCGTCCAGTAGGGACAATCCGTTGCAAAATGAGAAAAGAGAAGTTTACTGAATGCAGGGATTTCACAATAGGGAAGGGTTTTGATGAAGTTTAGCTTTCCCCTACCCCTCTGTCCCTTACCTCCCCTTAGGTCAGGGGCAACTTCTATTGCCTTGTATTATCCCCAAAGGGATTTTGTTTTTTCTATCTATGATATTATGTCTTTAGAAGCTCTCCAAGAGGAGTATCCAAACCTATCCATGAGTTTTTCTAATAATTTCAGAGTAGAGTCAGAGGGCCTAAGAGAAAAGTATAACAATACAAAACAAACTACAGGGCTGGCCGAGTGGTTCATTTGGTTAAGAGTTGGCTTAAGAACGTGAGCTCTGAGCAACAGGGCTGCCAGTTTGATTCCCACATGGGCTAGTGACGCTGTGCCCGAGCTGAGCTGTTGTTGAGCTGCCAACAGTTGTCAGGATGGTTCAGCTGGTGTAACAACAAGATTGCCTGTTCGATGGTGAGCTATGCCCACCTGCAACTAAGACTGAATTTGTCACCTTGAGCTGAGCTGCCACCCGAATGGCCCAGTGGCTGGAGTGTGCGCTCTTAACAACAAGCTGCTGGTTTGACTCCCTCATGGGAAGGTGGCTACGCCCACCTGCAGCTAAGATTGAACACAGCACCTTGAGCTTAGAGGCCACGAGCTGCCAATGGGAAGCCAGATGGTGACTGGCGCCCTCCACAATGAAGATTAAAGAACAAAACTTGGCTGGTCCCCTTCCCCAATTCCCCAACACTGTTTCCCTCCCCCAATTCCCCAATAAAATCTTAAAAAACAAAAACAAACAAACAAAAACTACAGTGCTGACATTTGCTGTGAAGGAAGGTATACGATTTTCTGGTAAAATCCCAGGTGACAAGACTCATATCTGGAAGAAGCCTTTATCTATTCCAAATGGGGAGCTACTCAAGTGGGGAGCTACTCAAACATTTAGCATTATGCCTGGCATCACAAGATTGTCCTTGGCTTGGCAGCTTATTGATAATACTAACATGTATTGACCACTTTCTATGGGCCAGTCACGTGCTAAATCTTTGAATATGTTATTTATTATTTTTTTAAAACCCTTATGATGGGAATGGTGGAACTGGGAACAATGACCTAATTTACTTAATGTCATACAAGTATTCACTGGCAGTCATACATTTGAGCATAGGAGGTCTGGCTCTAAAATCATGTGCTTACCCACAATCCTATGCCTCCTAACCACCCCATGCTCTCACCCACAATCCACTCCTCTGACTTGTGGTACAGCCTCTCTTGTATCCTAGTCCTACCTGAAGTACCCTACACCAGATGTTCTATAGGGACCATGAGGAGAAAAATATGTGATGTGGTTGGTTTGGTGGAAGGGGTTAGCTCCTATTTGTTTGTGTACTAACTGACAAATTTTAACAGTCAGACATTATTCCAGAAGATGGCTAATTCTTAGCTCCCCAACCTATTGTGTAACTGCAGTTGAGGGGGGAAACAACTAACTGAATAGGAGACATTAGTTCTTGTGGTGACTTTGCCTTAACAAGTGAGAAAACTTTGGCAAGTCCTTGTACCCTCTCTGGACTACAGCTGCCACTTCTGGAAAATGGGGAGTCTCAGACCGGAGCTTTCTAGGGTCCTACCTCCTTACCTAGCATTAAAGTTCTATGATCATGCTTGTTCCTTTTGCCGCCATCTCCCCTTCAGCTGGAAAACCTTTAAGAAGCAATCAAATGAAAAATGCATATGTTCCATCAACCAATGCATACATACACACACACGCGCGCATACACACACAGTTAACCCTTGAACAGCTCGGGTTTGAACTGAGTGAGTACACTTATATATGGGTTTTTTTTTTTTAAAGATTTTTATTGGGTAATTGGGGGGATGGGAACAGCACTGGGGAATTAGGGGAAGGGGAACAGACAAGTTGCTGCCGTTTTGCTCTTCAGTCTAGTTGTGGAGGACGCTGCTTCACTGGCCCATGTTGGCACCATCATTGCGCTCTTCCCTGGCGAGGCAGACCAGTCGCCGGCTTCTGGACGGCCGCTCACTGCGGCCGCTGGCCGCTCACGCTGGCTGCTGGCTACACACGGTAGCCCATGGCAACCCACTGCCACAGGGACTGCAGCCTATGCCGTCGCCAGCGACTCACGGCAGCCCAGCTCCAGGTTGAGCCGTTGTTCAGCATCTTAGCTGTGGAGGGCAGTGTCACTGGCCCTCACATGTGGGATCCGAACCGGGGCCCTCTGGCATCCCAAGCGAGCTCTTAACCATCGCGCCACTCGGCCGGCCCTATATGGGGTTTTTTTCAATAAATACTGTAAATGCATTTTCTCTTCCTTATGATTTTCTTAATAACATATTCTTTTCTCTAGCATATTTATTGTAAGAATACAGTATATAATACGTATAACATACAAAAAATATTTGTTAATCGACTGTTTATGTTATCCATAAGGCTTCCGGTCAACAGTTGGCTGTTAGTAATTTAAGTTTTGGGGGAGTCAAAAGTTATACGTAGATTTTCAACTGCGTGAGGTGTTGATGCCCCTAATCCCAGTGTTGTTCAAGGATCAACAGTGTGTGTGTGTGTGTGTGTGTGTGTGTGTGTGTTTGTGTGTGTGTGTGATAATGTTTATGTATTTTATATGTGTATGTATATATATATATAAAATGTATGGAGGAAAAGACTGGAAGGACACCAAAAATGTAACCAGTGGCTGTTTTAAAGGTTTAAAGGCTAGGAATTTTTTCAACATTTTCATATTTTCTAGGTGTTCAAAAATGCATGAGTGCTATTTTAAAAGGAGAAAAACAAGCTATTTTTTAAAGAGCAAAATCAACATCTTCTCTCCATGGATACTTCCCTGATACACCCAGGTAGATTTGGACACTTCCTCCTTGCTGCCATCATTGATTCTGGTTATAGTCATGTTTTAACACACCAATCCAACTCACCAGACTTGTCTTCTGAGGCAGTGCTTTGTCCCTTTCATTTTATTTACTTAGCAGTTAGCCCTCAAATAATAAATACTCAAACAGTGTTACTAAATAGAATGAGTATTTGTAAAAATGCAAGATACAAAGATAAATGAGCAGTGTCAAAGTGCAGTTTAGGATTAAATGCCAAATAAGGGGTAGAGATATTGAGAAGGGAGTGATCCCTGGGGACTTGGGGTGGGGGTCAAGATCCAGGAGAAGAGGGGGTGTTGATTTAGGCCTTGATTCATTCATGCATTGATGAAATGACTGGTAGGGTTTGGTATGAATAAAGGAATGGAGGCTTGGGTTTGTAAGAAATCTTTTTTTTTTAATTGTAAAATTTTTTACTTATTTTTATACATAACATGAAGTTTACCATTTTAAGTGTACAGTTCAGTGGCATTCAGTATATTCACATTGTTATACCACCATCACCACTATCATTCTCCAGAACTTTTCATCATCCCAAACTGAAACTGTGTACCCATTAAACAATAACTCTCCATTCTCCCCTCCCCCTAGTCTTTGTTAACCACTATTCTACTTTGTCTCTTAATTTAACTATTCTATTACCTTATATAAGTGGAATCATATATTTATTTGTCCTTTTGTGTTTGGCTTATTTCACTTAATATAATGTCTTCTGGGTTGTGTATTACTGTAAGAAATCTTTGAGGGATTGGTTTCATGGGACAGAGGATAAATAAAGAAATAGTGTGGAAGGGGGTGGAGATGAAACTGGAAAGGTACTTTGTGGTCAGATGATGAAGTGCCTTGAATACAAATGTAGATAACTGCTGTAGTGGGACCAGATGATTGTGGGAGCTGGAACTGTTACTCTCTTTTGGAAAGTATTATGGCAGTATCCTGTAAAAGTAAACATGGGTACATCCTTTCCTAGAGAATTACAAACACAATCCAATACATAATGATACATACATAAGAATGCTTATTGCAACATTGTTTATAATGGCAAAAAATAACATTGTCTGTCAATGGGAGAATAGTTGAATAAATTATTGTATATCCAGGCTGTGGAATAATATGCAATTAATTTAAAAAGCATGCTAGAGGTATATGCATTAACTTAGAGAAATGGTAGTGAAATGTTGAATGACAAAAGTAAGTTAAAAAGGAATTTATGTGGTATGATTCCATTTTTTTCATTAAAAATGTAAGACTAATTATAAATAACTATGTTTGAAATGTTTCT